TCACTTCTATCAATCGAAAGGAGACTGCGACTACACCAGAGGCCACAACATCTTGGTCTTCATATCTTCCATTATAAAACCTACTAATTAACGATAAACAAATAATGTAGTCCATTTTTATAGTAAATTAATCTTTGCCCCATCGACAATCCCTCTTCAGAATATTATTAAGGAAAATGCCTGACCTTCCTTGAAGTTTCTATCCTCCTAGTTACTTGAGGGCATTCGTGGCTGTATGGTGCAGCAGTTAACGTGTCTAGATTATGCACTGCGTTGACTGATTTCGAGTCCCGCTGGGGATAGTGACGAGATCTAGTCGGGGTCAAAACTTCAGTCCAATTCAGCCTGAATAAGAAAACCCTTTGGGAAGTAAGGTTATGTGAAGCGCAATGAAAAAGTATGTTCTACTTATATGCTGGTGGGAAACTTCAATTACCAGTCCTTCATACCCTTTAACCAAATATAATGAATACATCTTATATAACTGATTTACTGGTAGTCTCGAAATTCTACTTACAAACGAAAAACTTTGTGCTTTATTCTTGTAACTCAGCGTATGCAGTTGGGTGTGCGCATTACCAGAAAATCATAAAGGCTTTCGCTTATAATAAAATTACTTACTGATCAGGCTGGAAGGGTAGTGTGTCAATGGATTATTCATGCGGGATTTGTTGTTAAATAAGTAAGCTATAAACGCAAGTACAGGACCTTGATTGGAGCTACGAAGGTTGCGCACGGAGCCTGCGGTCACCAGACATTAGGGTTGAAGATCGGGACAAATCAAGGAAAGTTGGCTCCATAGTGGATATCATTTAAGTTTTGTGATTAATATTATATCCGTAGAGAAGAATTAAATGCTTACGATATAATACTTTGTAAGTCTGGCTGAAATTATAATGAAATTATAGTTCTAAAAATTATAACGTTAATCTTAAGTTGAGACATTCCGAAGGACATGTTTAAATGGCCTTGAACTCAGCCTATTTCCGATTAGATACTTTACACCAAAATCAAAATGAATTAAATTAGTCATTAGGTGTGCCAGCTTCCATAGGTTTTGTATTGGATTGTCATGCGCCCAGCCTATGTTATATTGACCCTCGATTTACAATCTTTCCCCAAAAGCCGTTCCCTTCCGAATTGGACTGCTCTGTCCAGCTCGCCTCATCGTCTCATTTGAACTTCCAGCAGAATGAAAGCCATGAACGATGTGTTTAAGAGGTTGCATCATAAATCACACAACTCTAGGCAGATTGAGCTACACAGGCAATGAAGAATTCAAGTAAATTCCCCTCCAAACCTGGGGATGAATGAGACAATGGACTTTAATGCAGAACCAATCTTTCCCTTTATATCATTTTGGGAAAGCGCTACGCCAGGATACTTGTGTATATTAGCGGCAATCCAGTTCGTGTTGGCAGCAACATATATAACACTTGGTATAATCAGATTGTTTTGTTTACAGAAAGTATAAGAAAGTTCTTTATGATGGGAGGAGATCGCCTGTGATCGAGTCTTCCTTTTTCCGTAATACGTCAATTAGGATCATTCTCCCCCCTTCACAATCCCTTTTTGTTTTCACATCATTCCATTTGCAGTCGCACCGTGCTGCTGCCCGTTAAGCTGGATATGGCCTACTTCCGCAATACTCTTTCGCACCAACTTGCCAAGCTGAATCATTCTGTTGGGTTCAATCAGTCCGATCCCGTTTGGCTTGACAGCCCATTTAGGCCGGTCAATCTAATGACATCTCAGATGCCCGGCCTCAGCACTGTCTATCGACAACGCAATGGTGATCTCATACCAATTCTCAACGTTTGGCGGACCGGTTTCGCAATATGCCCCAGCAATGCACCCACTCATCCGATTTGGGACTCCGACTCAACTTCTTAACTGCGAATTCATTGTTACTGTGACTGAAACAGAGCCAGCTGCCAGATTCTGTCTATGTTATTGCGTTTTTTGTTTCTCCTCTCTTGTGTACGTGTGCATCTACATGTGCCATAGTACAAATGGACACTGAAGCTCCATACCGGCAGAGGTCTATCTGGATTCTCGAGAAAATCAAACCCATGACAGGAGAAGAACCTGTAAAAACATGCACTATGCACGTGTATACATTTAGATGTACTTCAGAGTGTACACATATTTACGTGTATGCTTATATGCATAGTTATTTAGACACATCTGTCTGTGGAAGGAAACAGAGAGAATTTTGATTTACCCTTTGTGTTAAAGCGAACCAAACCCTTGTTTGCGTGTTAAAACCTAACTCTTTATGGCCTAACGATTCATTCATAAGCTAAATCTGTTCAGTTCAACCTTAAAATCCTTAGAATGCTTTTGCTTCACACTCACTTTAGCCACCATAAGCAAAACTTTTTCAGTCATAATAACGTATTTTCACCGAGTCATACAATTACAAAGCCTCGTAACTGCCCCTTTTTAGACATCACTTGCAGAAAGTTATTTTAAGGCCTATTTAGTCTACTGCTAAGTTTCTAAGGTATATTTGATGAGAATTATAAAAGGTTAACATAAAAGAACAAAATTAGGAAAGTCAAGGTGTATATAAGTTATTG